ATTCAGCACTGGGGATTTACGATCACCGACCAAGACCTCCAGGCGCACGCCTCCAAGCAAACCAAGAATGGTTGGCTTGGCTCGTATGTATGCGAATTGAATTCGCCATCTGGGGTTTGTAGTTATTGCAAGCACGGCTGCGGTGGTGGTCTCAAGGTGACCTTGCTTGCAGACAGCTTTCGAATGAGTCCGACGATGAAAGATGATGTGTTCTGACTCTAAACATTCCATGGCCTGCTGCACTAAAGCCTTGAATGCGCCAAGTGAACGCGATATTGCCTGAGTTGCACAGATGGGAACCATCAAGCTCCCAACGCAGGCCATACTTGCGGTATTGCGGTATCATTGCTGTACGGGCAGACCCTGCAATATTGACAAACGATTATTTTTCATCCTCCACGAATCAGACTCATACGCAATTTGATGTTGGAAACCGTTCCCAACACTCACAATCAGCTCGTGAAGTACTCGACGCCCGTGGCTAAACCCACCCCCTGGAATCTCTGAGACCCCTGCCATGGACTAAAGCCAACGCTCCGGAGAGATGGCGAGCTTCCTCCCATCACAACCACCGCCGAGCTGCGACGGGAGTTCGCTCGCAGGTTGCAAGTGGTACACGATTGTCTGAAACAAATTTGCCCTGTCTTCATGGACGTCACACACAATAGATAGCGTTGCAGTGCTACCTTCTGGTACAGACCAAAACACGTCGTCAAGTAGGGGGCCGATTGCCTATTGCGCCGGTACCACCGATGTTGCTTGCTGCACCGCAGAATATTGTGTGCCAGCAGCTCGTTCGTCTACCCAGGCGTGGGCCAACGCGAGAAGAGCGTTGACCGCCACGTCTGATCTAAGCACTCGGGGTCCCAGCGTAACAGCCTGTCGACGTTTTGGTGTACGTCAAAATGGACGGACGACAAGGGATGCGTGCAGAAAAAAAGACAAAATCATACCTCGGATAGTACAGGGGGACCGTGAGGCGAAAACCGGCGGCGGCGCAAAGCAGCTGGACATTTTGAATCATAGGCGCCAGACAGATTAAACACTGGGGCGGGGTGACTCCATGGCAGAGCAACCCAAACCATCTAGGTGTTAACGAGCACTTTGACGAGGCTCTTCTAAAAGTCAGGCAAATAGAGGCATGGCATTCGTTGCCCGACAGTACCTCTCACACCGCCAGTCGAAAGGGTAAATAAACTTCCTCAAAGATTCTTCAAATCTCCAGGCCACGGCCTTTCCTTTCACGTAGGACCATGTGATGAAAGCTCACCTGAAATCCGAAGGACTGCAGGAGCTGAAGCTCGCCCGGTTCTACCCACCCACCCTCAGGGCCGACGGCAACTAGCACGCCAACATCCGCCGGATCGCATCCTTGTCAGACGGACGAAGCGCAACAACGCGTCGAATGAGCCTTCCGTAAAAACACAGACGAAATATGCATACTCCAGAGTAAGAAACTACGTCTACTCCAATCCCATGACAAGTGGTACGTTTCCAAGTCAACTTTGTTCCCTCTTCCGTTGCATGGTGCCAACTTTGAAGAGCGATGCAGACTGCGAGAGTAGCTCTTTTATGGCTCCAGCAGTATGCACGGCGCCAACACGGGTGACAACTGACTTTTTCGCCAAAAATGCCTTTTCGCATCGCCACTTGTGCTTGCCCCCCCTACTTCCATTTCATTCAGCACGGGGGCGTTATCCTTCAATTTCACTGTAGCTCGCTCGCGGCCGTTCGGTGACCTCCTGATGTTCTCTACCCCGTGCGTAGCAGGGTGTCATTTTGTTACCACCGTACAGACCTTGCCCTTGGCGTAAGTCGCGTAGCACGACATTTCAAATAAAATCTGCCACTGCTCATGCATCAAAGTTGAGCCGGCGATGCTGCCTAGCGGGTCCTTTCCACCATTCTTCCAAGAGGGGCTCGTCCAGCGCCACATGCTGGCCCATGCTGTCGGTGTGCACACACAGCCCATGAGAATTGCAATGTCGAACAACCAGCACTCTACATGGGTCACCTTTTGGGGGCTCGATTTGAGAGAACCTTAGTGCCGGCGCCGGTGCCGTCGCAGCACCATCGCTCTCCACGCCATCAACCCGTCCAATTTGCGTGGTAGCGGCGACTGCACCCGCTTCTACCCCCACACCCTCTCCCCCGGCTGCTGTTGCCGCCGCGGTCGCCTCCCCTCCAGCACATCGGGCTACTTGAGCAGGCAGCCTCGTGGGATGTGCCAAGGCTCTCACCCATCGATCTCGCGGAAAACACCGATCTAAGTCGTCTTCAAGAAAAATCTTGAGGCGACGGGCCACCATGACCTCGGGCAAGACTGTGTCGCCCGACTTCAGGAAAATGAAAACCAGCGGCATCGTAGGTTGCATGGTTCACCACGCGGAGGAACGAAGACAAGGGAGGGGGATTGTGATGAGGGAAATGTGTCCCATGCGATAGCAGCTTCCTTGGCTGCCCGACCAAGCTGGGCTCCTCACCACAAACACTTGACGCAGCAACTGTTCAGCACCCTTCTCCACCATACTGTTGTAGCGCACACCAATATCTCGCCAAAGGCTGTACGGTTCTCCATATTGTCGACATGCTATACTTGAAAAAAACGAACCTCATCACTCACCTGCGACAGTCCTTCAATGAGCTTTTCCCTCACGCTCGGCGGGTCTCGAAAAAAGTGCGAGCCAAAGTAGAATTTAGGTACCTGCAAATCAGCGTGCATACCGTCATCGACTTTGGCCTTTTTCGAAGGAGAGCTATTTCCGTCAAGGAAACGACCAAAAACACCGACGTGCCATTCGAGTCCGCAGCACAACATACGCCCGGAGCCATACCTATTCACGCCTACGGTCGTGCGCCAGTGGTCAGCACGCGCGGTGGGCACTCGTTGACAGCAAGCTTATCGACAGCCGCATTGAAAAGTCAGACTACTGCCAATTTGGAATTCCACCCAACTTCTCCCCACCCCGACTTACCTTTTTCGCCTGGCACAACACGATTGTGGTGACCCCTAAGCTGGCAACAACTGGCAAGATACGTTCGAGCTGGAGCGGCCGCGGGACGGCCAGCATAAGAGCCACCCTGCACACCAACAGTGGCGAACGAATAGCGGGCGGTGGGAAAGCATGAGAAAAACACGAAGTAGCTGGCAGGCTCTCACTCCACTGGGTGACAATATCTACATCAAAACATACTATCTTCCGAAAGGGAAATACAACGATTCTCACTTCGGTCGTTGCTCATCCGGCACCGGCTTGAGTAGCTGCCGATCGCTCGGGCCGAGATCGAGGACTAAGTCCATCCACTTTGGGGACGATTTTCGGTCCTTCTGTCTCCCCGGGATGTCGGGGGGCGGTGTACCCTCTGGCGGATCGGTCGGCTCTTCCCAGGTGACATAAGCGTCATCCATCCTGTTCGAAGAGCACACCCGCGTGTGGCACGGCAGGTCACAATGCGATGACGGCCTTGCGGATCACAACTCTTCTGACATGCAAAAGGAGACCGCGTCGGAGGAACAAGCAAGCCAATAGTCTCCGTCAGCAGCTTCGAGATGCGCCAAGCGTGGACGAGCGACAGGCCAAAGGGGTCTCACCGTCCCGCGTTAACCACTCCGACGCGAACAGGTTCCCCGTTCTCCACCTTCAGCACACCTCTTACATGGGCGGTTCGGCTGTCTGCAGCGGGTAGTGTAGCAGATAGGTTTCCTTCTTCATCCCTCACCACCTCAGACGGCTCAAGCATAATCCTGAAAAAGCAAGATACGGGGAGGGAGTACGCCGTGTCTAGAGGGAATCGCAAGGCGAGGAAACAGGAGTTTTTGTACTCGAGATACATGTCTGTTCGATGTTCGAGCCCAACTTCCTGGCGCATTTTGTCGGAGATCGACTGCGAAGGGCGAGCACACGCAAGAGGCTTACCGTAAAAACAAAAACACGTCAATTTTGTCGGTCCGCGAAATTCCTGCACAACCCAAGGATTTCCTCACATCCCAAGAACGAGCAGAAAACCGGGGGCGTTTCTCGTAAAAGGCTGAGAGTGAACCTTCGCAAATAGAGCACAGCAGCAGTCATGTACATACGAACCATTGAACGAGGAACACAAGAAAAAAGGCAAGATCACGGCGGGTACGTATTGTCACCGAGAAAGCTCATTAGAACGGTCACGCCCGCGAGTCTAAAACCAACGCCGCAATCGCTGCGGTCTCTGTCCTCCATCGACCTCGTTTCTGTACACTGCTTTGAAACGTGAAGCTCTGTCCTTGACCGTACGTGAAGGGGGGGGACCCAACCCATTTTGATTTCGACTGATTTTGAAAGAACCCGCAAGAGCACCAGAAAATGCACACGAGACACACAAAACCAGTCGGAAGGCATCGGGACAAACATAATCGTTGATTCTTGCACTGGGCGGCAGTACAGTAGAGGCCACTCAAAACAGCCACACCATGAGTCTACTTCCACGCCTGTCTTGATTCACGATCAAATTCACACCAGCCTAAATTCGAGTGAAAAGAGTCGAAACGGCAGGCGTAAGTTTTTTTTTAACAATCTAACTGTACCTTGGCACTGATATCACAACGTAGAGGACATTGTATAGCAGCGGGGAGGATGTGTTGGCGCGCTCAAATCTGCTTCTGTGGTGGTGTTATCGAGGATCGTGCAGTAGCAATGGCCAAAAATCTCCGCAAATCTCCGCAAAAGACCGCACCCTATGTCTTGTACTGCTTGTGATCGCCGCCACTGACCCCATTCTCCTGAACCGCGGGTTGACAGCAGCAGCCGATGTCACTAGCTACTGCTGACGACCCGCCGTTCAGGGCGTTTGCGGTTGGTGGCGGTGAGCACGAGCAGTACAAGATGAGAGTCCAAGACACTGAGTCACTGACTGGTGTCGGTCAAATGTGCGGAGATTTGCGGAGATTATAGGCCACTACATGCTATGCATACGATCCTCGATATCACGACCCAACAAGCAAACCTGAACGTTCCAGCACATTCGTCATGGTGTCCTCTATTAAGGACAGTACTGAGGTGAAGTTATCTAAAAACGGCGGGGAAGTTTGCTTTCTTTCTGTATACAGTAGAGGACCCCGTTTAGTGCCGGTTGAATAGTGCCGGCCAAATCTCGGCGCACAGAACCCGCCCTGAATGGTGCCAGACCGGCACTATTCAGGGCTTCCCACTATAGTGCCGGTTCAAGCACGCACGCACACACAACACACAAGAGACACACACAACAAAGAAGACAGACACAGAGCCAGGCAAACATGCGGGAATTTATCGCGACGTAGTGAGGGCGGGGGTTACAGCTACAGCGGCTGTTTGATTTCTTGCATGTCCCGTTCTTGCGGTCGTGTTTTTTTTTCTTGTTCAGGCTACATCGAAGGAGGGTGAGGAGGAGACAGATTTAGCTTCCTCCTTCACCAATAGGTTGTGCCAGCAGGAGCTTCGCAAAAGTGTTACCGCCAAAAACCCATGGGCTTCATGATCAGTGGTTTGCTTTCGCTGTCGAGGAGTGATGTTGAGGTTGCGCGAAATGGTTTGATCCCTTTAAGGCCAGTGCCACGGCATTCTTGCCAACATAATATTAGGCATCTATGAGGTGCATCCTTTGCGATATTCATGTGAAGGGTATAAGTCAGGTTGTGCATATGTGCAGTACGTGCGCTGAGGTGGGTACAGCAACAAGGTGCAGCATGTGTGTCCCGTCCAGTTGACTTCTTAAGCAAAACATGTGTGGTCGACAGGGCAGGAACCACAACTATCGTGGCACAGCAGTCTGCCCGCGACGCCCATGCCATGATCTCACCATGTACGTTTCATGTGGTACTCTGTTGGCCCCGCAAAGCAAAGCGCTGCACTCTGAAATCACACAGTTCGTCAATGTGCCGGTCTGGCACTATTGAGGGATTTTCAGACCCTGAATAGTGCCCCTTTGGCACTATTCAGGCACTCTGAAGAATAGTGCCGGTGCCCGGTATAGTGCCGGTGAAATTTTTGCGCACACCCCGGCACTACACAGGGGTGAACATAGAGCCAGCGCCACAACGGGTGAGTTCTCCAGAGTAGTACAAGAGCATTGCACCCAGAAAGAGTTGAGTTCTTGCAGTTCGGGTGTCTGAAATCCTTACTCCCCGTTTACATGCAATACATTTTGAAATTGACAAATGTACGTGCTACATCATGTCCTGTCGTCGACATACAGCAGAGGTCAGGACTGTTTGTCTCGACTGCTATGTATGCATACAATGCAGAAGTGATTTTTTTTTTCTCCCATCATTGGACTCTGTCGTCTGCACCTCTGGCCCCTATCCTCCACTTCTACCAGCTAGAGGACCCAACCGGGGTCACTTAGGAGGGGGGGGTTGGACCTCCTCCTGCGGTTCCTGCCTGGGATATTTTTGTCGCGAGAAGGGCGAAAGGCGTATATATGCCAGCGTTGGCGAGATTCTTGCACTCGCCAGTTTAACAATTTTTGGGTTGTGATTGGAGGTAGACACGAAACCAAAGCCACAGCAGGTTTACAGCTCTCAGGTAGCACTACAGCGCTAGGCCTCACTAGGCCTAACCCACCCCTAACCCTAACACAAACCCAAACCCAACACCCCAAAATAGGTTGTTGTGCAGTGGGTAGGCCTAGGTCGCTGTACCGAGCTACTGGAGCATGCAAGAATCTCGCCAGCGCTGTTGTATAGTCTTTACGGCTCGTCCGAGAAGGGTACAGCAATCCAAGTAACGTACAGAGTGCAACCCAAGATAATCAACGGCCGCATACTCTATTTCCACCAACCGGTTCAAGCAGCGCACCACCAACCGCCGCGGCCCCGCATTGGGATCGCATAGACCATCGTATCGACGCTCTCGGGTGATGCACCATCTTTGCGGCTGCCTCCGAAGAAGGTGGTGGGGGCCGGGGTGGCCGGTCATGGTGTGCATGTGATGATGCAAATGGAAGCCTCCAGCATGATGAGAGAGCGCTCCTCCTCCTCTAATGCTCCGTGCAAAAGCAGTTTGCAAAGAAGGCCATGTAACGAAGCTCGCTGCCCGCATCTTCCGACAGGCGAACCTCCCCGTTGGCTGCTCTGTATAGCACCCTGCCCTGTGCCTGTGCGTTGCTCACTGCTGCTGTGCAGTGTATTTCTCGGCTCAGGGCCCATAGGTAGGGCTAGGCGGGGACGTATTATATAAATTTTCGAGCGGAGCGCGAAAAAACTTGAAGAGGCGTTTGCCCGGTCGGGCTGTTTTTTGGCTGTTTTTTTCCACTCCCCCCAATCCACTGTTTTGGGCTTTGTCCTTGAAATGTGAGCCGATGTCGAAACGGTTTCTTGCACTGCATTCCCAGGCACGTCTTGCATACCGTCCAACTTAATATTATTGTTGAAAGACGGCAGATGGTGCCGGAAAAAAACACACACATCNCCGAGCCCACTCCCTCGTCTGCACCAAGACCGGCGCCTCAACCTTCCTCCATAACAGGATGGTTCGAGTGGTCCTCAAGACACTGCGCGAGTGCCATATGCCCATCGCCGTTGAGGATTCTTCCCCTTTTACCACAGGCACTGGTAGGGGAAAGGGGCTATACAAGATGGATTTGGTAATCCCCCCAGGATTACACGCAGGAGAGAAAGAAGAGGACCTCTGCACCAAGTCCATTCTGATCGACGTAACAATCGTCAACCCATCAGCAGGTCGAAGCATCGACAAGTCGATCCTTAAGCCAGGATCAGCCCTCGAAGATCGAGCTGCAAGTAAGGCAAATCACTATGCGGGAACTTTCAACCCGTCTAGATCTACCCTCCTTACTGCTGCTTTTTCAACGAATGGTGGTCTTGGCAAAGGCACCAATCGACTCATCGTTGCTATCGCCAACCACTTGGCGCACGAAGCTTTTTGCCGGGA